TATGAAGGAGGGTGTTTAGCCAATATTTGCCGAGCAATGCTTCAAATGGATGGCCAGGGTCCAAGCCTGAGGCGATGAGCTACTGTGGTGGCCATGGTGATCGTTTGAACGGAATGCTAGGCTTGCGCGGGCGGGTGAAATGGTTTCCCAAGGTGCGCAGTGGCGCACAAGACGCTCCGAATGGTTGGCTTCCCTTCTGGCGTTGTTTGGTTTCCGATTGGCACAGAAAGTAACGCCACAAAGTGATACTCTGGAGACTTCGAGGAGCCCAACATTCGACAAGCCAGTTCAGGTCTGCCAAAGCCCCCCCGACGGAAGGTACCCCGAAATTGGGATCAGGACAAAGACCGCCGCCGTTTTCGGAGGCGCCTTCGTGGTGGCGATGCTGGCGGGCAGGGCCTTCTTCATCGACTCCCAGCGGCCGGTGCCGCTGAGCTTGGCAGGGGTCGCCCAGAATCGGAAGTAGGTGGCACTTCAGGATTCTTTGCGTTTTGTTTTTTTGCATTTGGTGAACTTCTTATTATGTCTTTTTTTCAGGGTGGTGGAACAATGGAGGCATTACTCCAGAAGGAACCAACAAAATAATATGACCCCGTCAGGCAGCCTGACACCCTACTACCCCTCGACTGCAACCCTAAGACTGGGCCTCCGTGGAGGTCTTGCAGCCACGTGTGGGCGGCATCGACTGGCGCATGCATGGCTCCCATGCTGTGCTACCTGCCGGGAGGCCCAGAGTCAGGGAGGGCTGGGAGTGGGCCGGGTTTGCGGAGGATTTTGGAGGCTGAGGGAGTGTGTGAAATGCGTCTCCGCGTAGGTAATTCAGCCTTGAAAGTAACTCAAAGCCAAGCATGAACGCGAGAGTAGGGGGTTCAACCTGTGGTGGACAGAAAGGATTTGTTGATCGGAATGCACATACTCCAACCTGAACCTGGCGTGGTGCCTGGACAAGATCCATTTGGGCGTTTCTCAAAAAGGTGACCCTCCTATTTGGCTGGCTTCAAAGGAAGACCATAGTAAATCCACCACGAACAGCAGGTTCTATTCCAGGATCCACTGGTTCAGCTGGCAACTGTGGTTGAAGGTGCGGCCAGGAAGATGCCCTTGTGTTCGGCAACTAAATATCCAAGAGAACTTGTGGTTCGCATCGCAAAACAAGTGCACCGCTCAAATTGGCGGTTTGCAGCTGCATTCGTCCATGTCACGTTGGTGTTCTCTCTCCAGAGGCCGGCTTCAACTTCAATGACAACTTGGCCGCCTTTGAGTCGGATCCACATGTGGAACGGGCCTGAGCACGAGAGAAGTGCGCTACGGGTGGCACGTGGGGGGAACCAGCGAGTCAATCAGATTTGGGCGTTTTTGCTGCGCCTCGGTAGGCAGCATGTTTGCGCTTGCCCTGCTTGATCCAAAACGACAAGGACTGCATATTTCACAGCAGAAGTACATTGTCATTGAAGGATTGGTGTGTCTATGCCGTTAAGTTCAGCCGCAGCCTTTGCCCAGCGCACGGACGTCAATAATTGCCTTGTTTGCGGCCTCGCAATCACGCTTGTGTTTGGTTTTGGATGGACGTAAGGATGTAATATGTCTCACGTGCATGCATGTGCATATTTGGTTAGGTGCTGGACAGCCAAGAAGATGTGCTCCGCATCGTCTCGAACCAGCGTGTGGCACACAGATGTTTGGGGAGGGTGGCCCTGGAGGGAGAGGAGTAGAGTGAGACTTTGAGACGGGCCTACTTCGACCTGAGCCGTGGTCTAGACTAGTTGTCATGGAATTCGTAATTGCTACAAACATTGTGTTCGTGAGGACCCATGATCACCTAAGAATCCCCCCCATCCACGCAGTTGTTCGGTGGTACTCTTCTCAGCTTTTTGTTCAGTTGGTTGTTCGTTTGATGTGAGCAACCAAATGATGAGCCTGTGATAATTTGACTTTTAGCTCCTTTGTCCGCAACAGCATTCCTAGTTTGACACATTCCCCCCCTTGGAGCTGGACGCAAACGTATCTCGAGTGCTTGGGGGATATGGGTTGCTGAATGGCCCAGCAATTCAAATGTGCCAATGAAAGCACGAAAAGATCGACAGTTGCTTAGTTTTGCCGACGCCCTTTTTTTGCCGCTCAGAGGTGCATGGGACAAGCACAGAAGCGTTTTTTTTCTTGAGAACCCATGATTAGTTTGAGTTTGTCAAAAGGTATGTTTGCAGACCTGTCTATGCATGCAGGTTTCGGAGGAGGGTTTTCTCTCCCACAACCAACTTGTGTGAATCTCCTTTCGTGGCATGTGGGCATCAAGTGCACATACACATGATATTATATATACACATCATACACGTTCTTTTTGAAATATAGACATAGATGATCAGACCTGCACAGACCTGCACAGATTTGCACGTCGGACCATTCGGCAAGGCCTCAGCGCCGCGGCGCTGCGGAGCCACCCGCGGAGCGCCCGCGCGCTGGGCCGGGGCCTCGGGGCCTCGGGGCCTCGAAGCACCGGGTGGGCGCCGGGTGGGCGCCGGGCGCGCGCTGGGCGCGCGCTGGGCGCCATTTGGCCGAGTTTGGCATTTGGCCATAGAAAGCCTGGGGAAGACAACATAGATATGGCCACAAAGTTTGTTGGCTGTTGCGGTTTGGTTGAGAACAGAATTTGCATTCTTGTTTGATGGGGGTGCTGTGTTTTCTAGGAATGGGGCAAAGCGAACCCTTGAATGAAAACTTGTGGACGAAACATTTGGAGGGCTTCCAGTTTTGGCACATTCTATAAAGTGGCCATGGCTCACAGTGATAGATTTTGTTGGGGCCATACATGCAAAGGGCATGGGGCCTACAGCTGGGAAAGGGAAGGAGATTGCCAAGTCCAAAGCTTTTGCCGAGCGAAGCCCCAAGCACGGACCTTCGGCTTGCAGAGTTTTTACGCTTGCAAAAGTGTTGGTTATGATTGAGTTGACAGGAGGATGAGAAGACATGGCCGAAACAGAATTCGACCCGAAACAGAATTCGACCCTTCCAGAGCAGCAATTACGTAGCTCATTTGACGTGAATGAGCTGGGATGATGCTACAGGGATACCTCCGCCGCTGTTTCGACACACAGCCAGGTATTGAACTTGATATTCACTTGGTGCCGTGGTCAAACTGCAATTTTGACAAGCAGAGGCTGAGTTGGAAAGGCGAGACATGAGTTGGGAGCTGATGGGTGCAAACAGCGCTGCCTTCCCCCCAAAGCACAAGACAGTGATCTCTCAAATGTCCCGCTTCGGCAATTTCATTGGACCTCACCGGCCAATTGCAACTTGCCAGGGGGATATTCAGTGACCCCAGGACTGACCGGGCCTCGGTTGCACATGGAGCTTTTTCAGCTGCTCTTCCAACCGCGCGGGGCCCAAGGTCGAATTGGGGAAAAGCTGGCCTTGTAGAATCTGCACAACCTGCGCTGCTGTTCAGTGCTCATTTGGGTTCTCCAAATAGAGCGCCTAAATATTGGGGGGTCCTTTAGCTTCCAACAGCTGCCTGGTCGAAACGACAGCACCATTTTCATTGGAATTTCGGCTTTCGGCTTTCGGGATTGCAGCTGAGTGAAGCTCCGCCTGTGGACCTGAGGTGCCCTCGCGTGGCGCAATCTTGCCAAACCCAAAGTCTGGCCCCTCCAAGGCCCCAATGCCCCGTGCTCCTTTCAACCCTTGCTCCAGTTGCCCAAGCCTTCAAAGCTCCGACCTCACACAGGGGATCAGGGAACCACTGGATCGTCGCCATGGATTGTGAGGTACAGCTTCGATTTGCGCCCTGAAACAAGTCCTTCTGATTCCGAGGCGCCGGGTTTCCAAGCGAATGGATTGACGTCCGCTGGCAGGTCGCCAGCCCTGAGCGCCCGCCTGCGGGCGCGGAAGCTGCCCGAGGGCCGACGGATAGGATCGCAACGAAGTCGGAAGCATCGGCCGGAGTTCTCGGGGCGGCCGGGAGGAAGCATCCACCAAAACTTTTGGGTTAGCGAATTTACATTCTCATGTGGCCTTAGTGTTTGCTCCAAGGGATGGCCTTGCCGGTCTAAAGTTCTTTGCACATGAACCGTTGGACATGTGTGTACCTGCCAAAATGATGCCAGGAAAACAATTAATACGCGGGCGCCAGATGCGGCCAAAGGGTACTTCTTAGATGGTACTGGAGCCAAGGGAAACCGCAAGGAAGCCAGCCATCACAACTCGGCATGGCAGGACTCCACTTCAGGGCCGGCGATCAGATGCCGCAGCACTGGAAGGACTGGCAGACCAGTAGCCATGAACCATGGAGCTTGGCTTGGAGCGTGTGCGGGGGTTCCGTTCCAGACCCGGCAACCTGATGGATCAGGCTGCGAATGCCATTCTATACTCTAGTGGTTTAGTGGCAGACCGTGTTCGTCAAGCCTTGGTCTCTTTTTGGGTTCCTTGTGTTTGGATGCAGAAAGATTGAAAAAGATATGCCCGCCACGGATTGCCCTCTTTTGGGCCAAAAACCATAAGACCCCAGAAGATGGCAGCCCATCTCAGGTGACTCCTATTTTACTCGCTTCCAATGTTCACAGAAACCTCTACAGGAAAGTCCAAGCAGACGATCTGGGGTCCTGCTTGGAGGCTGACAGCTGAAATTAGAAATGAAGGCCACGGTACATAACAAGATAGACGCCGCCTTTGGGCTGTTGAGAGACGGCCCTTCCATGACAAAGAAAGCCGACAAAAAAACCCAACTGTTGGCGAAGACAAAAACGAAACTCAACATAAAAATTCAGGTTTGAGGGTTCAGGTTGCTTCTCCATCTTGAAGCACCATGTCAAGCCTCATTCGAACTTTAGGTGTCAGGCAAACTCGAGCCTCAGGAGGGAATGGGGCAAGTCCAAAATGCATTCGAAGATGAAACCTCAAATCGAATTAAGAAGAAAGGTTTTCGGGTTTTACCGCTTTGGGGCTGGGCTTGGAGGGGTTCATAGGTTTCTCGGGCTTTGGCTTATGCTTTTTTAAGCGCCATTTCAAGTGTAAGCCGGATTTTGGGTGTCAGTAGGTGTTACGTGTCAGTGTGAATTCAAGCGCCATGTTGGGTTTCATAACCGAGCAGGATTGTGGATCTAGGCAAGCAGGATTTTGGACGGCATTCTTGCCCTCACTCGACACTTCAGTGTCGGAGCCCTTCCGCAAGCCTCGCAAGACTATTTCTCTATGAGTTGGCCCCAAACATCCACCAAAGGCCAGTTGGCATCTTGTTGATTTTCCAGTTTCCTATTTTTTGCCACGTCTCCAGCCTGGCCTCACGTGCCAGGACCCGCCACGGCACGACCTCGCCCAGCTGGACAGGGCGGCAAAGACGAACGTCGGACGCGGTGGTGTACAGAAGCTGTTTGGGGCCCGGGATTGTAAAATCATATTAGGCTCGCATGTGCGGAAGTTTGAAGGGCAGACCTTCTCCCACGTTCAAGGAGATCCCGCGGAAAGTAGCTGCTTCGACTGGAGCCAAACAATACCGGCGCTTGGTTATACAAGCGCATGCCCCTTTAGATCTAGAAGTATGCCCTAAACTGTACACTGACAAGTAGAGCAAACAGTGACAACTGGTAGTCCAGACCCTTGGATTAGGGGCACGTTTCTCTAAAAGCAAGCAGTCGACCTCAGCGATAGCAAGATACCAAGCGCAAAAGCCTTGCAAGCAAGCCGCTGTTTTGGCCCACTGAGTGCTGCCTACACATCAATGAAAAATACTGTGGCAAAACTACCGGAAGACCGCTGTACAGGAAAACAACGGGAATATTGCGGGAAGACAGCTAGATGTACAACAGCTGACACCACTGCACGCCGATAAGGAGGGACACAACATCACAGTCATACTCATAAGGTTGCAGCACGTTGGCGCTGGTCCGTTTTTCCACCCCAATTTGGCATGCAGTGTGATTGGACTGCTTTTGCAATCCTTGGCTCGAAGTTGCCCTGTGCTACGTGGCTCCTCAGCCCAAAGCCTTTGAAGGCTGAGGATGCCAATGCACACGTTCGAACGAGTCAGCAACTGGTTTGCAGCCGCGCAGATTGGCGTGGACAACATGGAGCTTCGCAGTATGGCTGAAGCCCTGCAGAGCAAATTTGAGCCGGAGCCCGACGGAGACATGAAGACTGTGGGACTCTACTCACTCGCAGGCGAAAGGTCCGAGGCGCGCCAAATTGCGACGTGCCAAGGCGAAACGGCCTCGTGAATCAAGCCTCGAGTTGAGCGAACGAGAAAAGGCTTAGCTGGCTGGCGTGAGCAAGAGGCACCCTAGCACTCATTTTCACGGCTTTTCGAAAGAACTTTGGGTAAGAGAAACAGGCAGCAAAAAAATGTCGGCGCTGCCATCACTTGGAAGGTCAAGGTCCGGGTGGCGGCCACCTATGGAGACGTGGCAGACTACCAGAGGGATGCGGACAATGAAGAGCTCTCAGACGATGACTCAAACCCCGGCCTCGGCCCGGACGAGAGCCTCGGAAAGAAACTGTCCTTCTTTTTTGATCTTTTGGTTGCGACCGCTTTGATCCATGTGAACTGGCATGGCGCCGCAGGGTCACGTTTTCCGACTTGTCCGGTTGCAAGCGAGGCTATGGCTGGTGCGTGGCCAGGCCGAAATCAGGCCTGGGTTGTTGCCCCCTCACATTGCGGAACACGGGCTGCTTTTCCCAAAAGGCTTGCTTCATTTTCTCGACGGGGTCGGGGCGCGGCCGTGTTTGTTAGTGGGAGGATCAAGAAGGCGAAGAGGTTGTGCTTTGGCAAAGCGGAGATTGTTGGGCTACAGCGCCACAGCTCGTGTGTAGCCGCCAGTCACCTTGCCGCAAGCCCGGATGGACCAAATCATCTCCAAAATCCTGTTCATGAGTCAAAACTAGAGCAAGTTGGTTCTTGGAAGGAATCAGCATGAAACCGACCATTTGCAAGGGTGCAGCTAGTTGTTTTGACGCCTGCAGGGTTGCCAAATAGAGGGGGGCCGTTTTGGACCCTGGTGTCATTTTGTGCCGCCTTGTCAATCCCCAACAACCGCATCCTGCAATCCAGCTCAGAAAATGGGGAGGACTACTTCCCTTGGTTTGACAGCAACAAGTGAGCCTAGTGAACAGAAAACCAAAAGGGCACCAACCATCCAACTCATTTTGGCAAGCACGCGCTTCACAAGCCCTGGCATCAAGTGGCATCAAGATTGCCTGTGGCGCTAGGTATCACGAGAAGCCCACCAACGGTGAAGAGATTCAGTATCCCAATTGCAACCACTGGGTTGGGCACAATTTGTTTCTCTTTTGTTTGGTGCTCTTCCCTGTAAATTAACCCCAAAAAAGCCGCAGTCAAAGCCCGGGTGGACGCGGGATAGGCTGCCCTTTAATTCCTTATATAGTTTCGGGTAGGCCAAACTGATGCCATGGACAACCGAGTAAGGTATGTCCGCGGCCGCTTTCCTGACCAAAGTGACCAGACTTCAATAGCAGATTGACAGCGTTTGACAGTATACGTAAGTAAAAGGAATCATATGCAGTAGTTCATCGACGGATACCGTCTTGCCAGTTGAAAATCAGGATGCGCATACGCTTTAACCTTGGTGAAACAGCCTTGGATTTGAAAGGGTAAAGTTTACTAGACAGCTCTCTGGGGCATGCTCTGAGCACGGGCTAGACATGTGAGTCAAACCTGAAGCTAGATTGCAGGTCAAGTAGTAAGCCGATGAAGTGCTCTGCCCCTAAAGAGCTTTGTGTCTTGGGCTCGAGCTACTCACATCTCAGACCTCTTCATGCACGCGCTAGGGTACAATTCGTGACTCCAGGTTCATTGCAGGGAGTTCTGGAGACTTTCATGACTGGTACTTGTAAGGACCCTGTTTGAAGAAAGTATGACATCCTTTTCGCAAGAAGATTGATTGTGGATCGCAGGAGCATCAAACGTTACTATTGTTGACGGCCTGTTGTAACAAGCTCCTTCAACAACGAACACAATGTGGGTGTCTCAAACCAACCCCCCCCCTTTGTGGTGGGGTTGCCTTTCTTTCCCTTTCTATAACAAATCAAGCGCATGTCTAGCGGCCCTCATACGTGATGTCACAAGGTTCTTTAAGATGCTTCCAGGTATTCGCTGGCGATGCATTGGAGATGTATTGTAAAGCTGCGGCTATCCCTTGTCCTGGTGAATTCGCTATGATTCTCCTCAATCCGGCGCTTGCGAACGTGCCTACCCAGATGCCTTCTTGTTGAGATTGTTTGTCACAGCTGCCAAGAATGGTGAACTGCCCCTCAAGATAGGCAGGCTGACCCAAAAAATGTGCTCAGAGCTGGAGGCCCATGATTGCGAATTGCACCCGTGAGCTTTGTTGCCCTCAGTTTTTGAGGCTTTCAGAATATGACGCCTTGGATGGTTGTTTTAAAGTCACAACATCAGCTTGGCTGCGCTCTCATTGGTAGCTTGGGCGGTTTGATGAACTGAACCTTGCAGTTCCTCTTGAAGCGAAACGGGAAGGTACTTCCCTTCAGCTCTGAGCCACCCAATAGGGGTGGTGAAAAATGGCTGCTGAGGCCTTCAAGAGATGTTGATCCAGATACCTGAAGAGCTGCGGAGCTATTTGCTTGAGCTGGGTGCAAAGGAATTGCCGAACATGGAGATGAGGCGTGTGGACGACACCAGGGAGTATGTTGCACTGGTGACGTTCGTATACCGTGGTTTGCTGAATGCTCAGGCGCTGGATCTGGCTACGACAAGAGGCCTGTCCAGAATGAACTTCGAAGCGGAGTTCACCGGAGGGGTTCTGGAGTGCTTGAAGACCGGCGCCGAAGAGGGCGTGTCATGCGAAGAAATGCTACAAAGGCTGCGGGATCAGTATGCGTGACCTGGAAAAGACAGAGTGTAGCGACCTTTTAAAGACATGTACAGCAAGGCTGGGCAGAATTGGTTCTGGGAAGCAGACCATGACCCCTTTAAACACGAACCCCAAAGGAGACCGTGCAAGATGAGGGAATAGATATCTAAACAGGGTTGGCCCAGCCCTTACAGCTGAATCCCTCGAAGAAGTTCTTCGAGATGACGGCACTTCCGCCTCGTGCCACAGAGCAGAGCAGAGCTGGGCCCAACAAGTCAAGTGCGAGCTGATGACGTAGAGATTTGGGTAGCAGGGGTGAAGGTCTTTTCAATTTTGGCCACGAACTGGGGAGCTTGAGCCCATGGTCACAGTCACCATGCTTCATTCTCAAGACTCAGCTTTGAAAGCCGCCGCGTTGCTATAAGTTGCTCCCGTGAACACATGACACTTGGCAAAGTGGCCCTCTGAAGGACTGGTAACGGGGTCAACTCAGTTTCCATGTCAGCTTTTGGGGAGTGTCACAGCGGCTCGAAGCCTGTATTCCCTGTTTTGGGAGGTCGACCCAGGGTGCAACTTCAAGGGCTTGCCAACACGATGGTAAGTTCTGCCTGCTGTAGATCCAGATGTCCGTGGCGTGAATCAAGGGAGTTCCCCTTGATGCTGATGCAACCTTACTGGGGCTCTCTCCGGAGGATCGCACCTTCAAACTAGGGCTTTCCAAGGCTTTCCTGCCCAGGGGTCAAAGCGAGGATCCCGGTATGGTCTCGTGGCAGGGGACCAATCCTGAGGAATGTGCGGACGTTTTTCTTTCGATTCACTTTGCTGAGAAGCGGCTCGATCAGGAGGAGTTTCTGAACTGCGCAGAGGATCTGGAGAGGCAGCAAGGCTCGGGAGAAGCTGGGGTGGAGCTGGACAGGCCTTAAAACTCGTGCATCCATTCGCTTCCTGAGCCACAGGGGCTGTAAAGTCGCGCAAACGATTTTAGGCAGCCTACATGAGGATATTCAATATTTCAACGGTGGCGGCAAGGGCCCTCTTCTATGACACGGCCAGGTTGGAATGCCACCTTCCTGCTCTTTGCAGATACGGACAAGGTCCGGGAGATGCCGCGGGTGCAGGACGATATCGCAGATCCCGGCCGCTCGACTTTCGCTTTCGATTGGTCGCAAGCCCAAGCCTGACTTGTCCAAGACCAACATTGTCAACTTTCAGGTTTTACTTTTCGTTTTAATTCGTAGCAAGTGGAACTGAAACAAAGTCAAGACCTTGAGACGCCTGAGATTTGAACCAGCACGTATATACATTGTTTGGGAATTGCCAGCCTTGGTGACAGCGAGGGGTCGAGCAAGATGTTGTTGAGCACTGGCGTGCGAGATGTCACAGGTTACACGGCTTCATACAGCAGGAGCTTGCAGCAGCTGGGAAGCTTGTGCTGCTCTAAGTACAAACATGGGGCGGCCACTTTGAAACTCCATGCTCAATGCGCGTCCAGAGTGCCTCGATGCAAGTTTTTGGGCCCGCCATGTTTGAGGGAGATGATGTGCCTCCCTGCTTGAGGTCTTGCCCGAGCAGACTGACGGGCTGGTACACCTGGTCTGGAACCACAGGGAGCTGAATGTCGCCACACCTTTTTGCCTGGCTCGGTTGCCTAAGGATCGTTCTCCCGCCACGCTGACTGCCTCAGACTGAGACCGGGCCGAATCCACATGAATGAACACCAGAATGACCGTCCTCGCAGAAAGTACGAGCCACACTCACATGGTGGTTCTCTGAAAGTATGGGTTTCCACCCGTTCAGCCAGGTGGGGTGAAGTCAAAGCGTTTGTCAAGTGGCTTTCGCATGGGAAACATTCAACACAAGCTGATGGCTCCCAGGTCCGCGGTCTGCTGCAGACCTGGGCGGATTGGTGGACCTTGGCCTTCGATGTGGACGCGCTGGTGCTGAGCCACAGCGGCGCGCCGTGCGCCACAGGGATTGGCACAAGGGGGAAAGGGCCATCAGAAAAACCGACCATTCCTGGGCCCCGTCATGGTGGCCAACCATGTCAATGCAACGTCCCCAATTGCAGCTATCCCAGAAAGAGTCTTGGTTTCAATGCATCCTCATTTCCGCTGAGCATCCACCTGGACCAACGTTTGTGAGCTCCGTTGTATCATCCACCGGGTGACGATGCGCAGGCTTTGGCGCGACAGCGCTGGAGTTGGGCCCCTTGCGACCGGCGGCCAGCCCCCAAGCGCGAAGAGGGACTCGATTTGCCGTTGTGCACTTTGGTCACACGTTGGTCAGAAGGGAGTCAATGCAACACCTGTGGCCCGAAGCCAGAACAGATGGACAGGTTCCCACTTTAAAAAGTTTTGCCAAGGCTGGCAAATTGAGCGCTGTCCAGCAAGACCCGTTTACTGATGGAGAGACGATTATTGTGCACGATTGTCTAAGCCTCCTTGGAATTTGGAAGCTTAAAATGCTCGATGTGAAGATACAAATGCAGCAGTAATACATTGCCAATATGTGTACGCCACAAATCGGGCGAAGTGTGGCTGCGGATGGCAAACAGCCTTTTTGTATCCCTTACCTTCACCGGCCTGTCTAGCTGAACGATCCGCCCCATTCGAGGTCCTTGGTCTTGGCTGTGTCCTTGCAGATGGCAGCACAGGTGCGGGGCCCAGCGGTCGAACAAAGACACTGTGAAGACTTCGAGCTATCTGTTGTGACAACACAATTGGAAACAATACTGACACAATCATGCTAAGTTTGCGGACCTTAACTCATTGTAGACAATGATGACATTGGTTCATGTTTTGAGGTTAACTGCAATCGATTAAAAGCATGTCTGAATAAATAACGATGTGGAATATATAAAGATTATTTTTTCTTTTAAATATAAAATATTGTTATTTCGAAATCATATTTGAAAGAATGGAATATTATATTTTTAGGGTGATAATTTAATAAATTTGATTAACACAAATTTATTTTATTATAAAAAATAAATAAAATATAATTTAAATATAAAATAATTATAGTGATGGATAAATATTTAGATTTTTTTTTTGGCATTAGTTTTTTTTTTGTTTTTTTTAAAGTGTTGTTTATAATAGGTATTTTTTGTTTTTAAGTATTGATTTGGATTATTATAACCTAATTTAAATTTAGAATTATTTTTAATGTGTAGAAATATTTTTTAATACTTAAAAATATTTTGTAGTATTAGTTTAATATTTATATATGATTATTTATGGATTTTATGTTTTGTTTGATGGTTTTATTTTGCTCATATACGTGTTGATATATATGAAGGATTGGTTATATATATATATACAAATAAGTTTAATTGGTCGATTTGGGTGTTGGGGGAGGCGTTTGTAAGTGTTTATTGCTAGTTGATTTTAAGTTTTTGGTATTCCTAAGAAAACGCCGATGTTCCGAGGAGTTTATTTATATATATATATAAGTATATATGTAAATAAATTATATAAATATATATATATATAAATAAATTATATTTTGTTCGCAATCGTAATGATATATAGGAATTTTTGGTTATATATATATAGATTTTATATATATATGCATTTGTATAAGTAGATATGGAGTATTGGTTATGTGTATACACAAACAAATTTAATTGGTAGACTCTGGGGGGGGGGGCTTGGGGGAGTTGTTTCTAAGTGTTTACCCTTAGCTAATTTCAAGCTTCCGGTAACCCCAAGAAAGTAACGATGCCCCTATGACAAATATTTATATATATATATAATTATATATATGTGTTTGTGTGTTTTTGTAAATAGATTATGCCTTGCTCACACACATACTGACATATCTGGAGTTGATTATGTAAACACGCAAACAAATCCAATTGGTAGATTTTGGGGAGGGGTTAGGGGAGGCGTTTCTAAGTATTTACCCCTAGCTGATTTCAAGCTTCCGGCAACCCCAAGAAAATACCGATGCTCCTAGGATGAAGGTCCATATATTTACATATGTATAAACGTGTGCATATATGCGTTTGTGTAAGTAGATCATGCCTTACTCACATACCTGCTGACATATATGGAGTATTGGTCATATATACACACAAACAAGTCCAATTGGTAGTCTGGGGGTGGGGGTGTTAGGGGAAGCGTTTCTATTTGTTCACCCCCAGCTAATTTCAAGCTTCCGGCAACCCCAAGAAAACACTAATACCCCCAGGATGAAGGTCTACATATATATATATATATACAATTATGTATGTGTGTGTGTAAGTAGATCATGCCTTGCTAACACAGTGCTGACATGAATGGAGTATTAGTCATATATACACACAAACAAATCCAATTGGTAGACTCTGTTGGGGGAGGCGTTTCTAAGTGTTTACCGCCCAACTAATTTCAATCTTCCAAGTTTCCGGCAACCCCAAAGAAAACACCGATGCCCCGAAGACGAAGATATATATATATATATAATTATATACATATGTATATGTAAGTAGATCATGCTTTGCTCACATAGGTGCTAACCTACATGGAGTATTGGTCATGTAATATATATACACGTATAAGTCCAAGTAGTTGAATCCGGGCGGGGGGGGTGTTTCTAAGTATTCACCGCCCGACTAATTTCAGGCTTCGATACATATACATATATATAAATACATAATGCCTTGCTCACACACACACTGACATATATGTAGTATTGGTCATGCGGATGCACAGATAAGCCCCATTGGTAAAATCTGGGGCGGGGGGTGTGGTTCATGCCCAGCTAATTTCAAGCTTCCGGCAACCCCAAGAAAGCACCGATGCCCCGAAAAAAAAAAAAAGAATATATATAAATATGTATGTATGTAAGTAGATCATGCCTTGCTTACACAGTGCTGACATGTCTGGAGGATTGGTCATGTATACACACAAACAAGTCCAATTGGTAGACTCTGGGGAGGGGTTAGGGGAGGCGTTTCTAAGTGTTCTTCCCCAGCTGATTTCAAGCTTCCGACAACCCCAAGAAAACACCGATGCTCCCAGGATAAAGGACTACATATATAAATATCTGTGTGTGTGTGTGTTTGTGTAAGTAGATCATGCCTTGCTCACACAGTGCTGACATGTATAGTCATGGGGGTTCGGGGAGGCGTTTCTGTGTTCACCCCCAGCTAATTTCAAGCCTCCGGCAACCCCAAGAAAGCACCGATGCTCCCATAGGATAAAAATCTATATATATATATAATATGTGTGCGTTTGTGTAAGTAGATCATGCCTTGCTCACACAGTGCTAATATATATGGACTATTACCCACAAACAAATCCAATTGGTAGACTCTGGGGGGGGGGGGTAGCAGCGATCCCCCCATAACGAAGGTCTATACATATATAAATATATGTATGTGTGTTTGTGTAAATACATCATGCCTTGCTCACACAGTGCTAACATGTATGGAGTATTGGGCATGAATACCCACAAACAAGTCCAATTACTAGATTCTGAAAAAAGAAGTGGACCGTTTCTGAGTGTTCGCCCCTAGCTGATTTCAAGCTTCCGGCAACCCCACGAAACCATTTCATTAACCTTATGATTTGTTTCATGATTGTCCACAGTATCGCGCAATTTTTTCCTGTTGTTTTCTGTTAAAATAAGGGAGGAATGAACACATGATGAAAAACAGATGATGTTCATGGGAAATTCTGAAAGCAAAAAATGCCAACAAATCATAATTTGTTTATCATTGTTCATTGTTTCATCATTTGCATACTGTGCTCATATTGGTTCATCATTGTTTCATCATCTCGTCATTTGTTTATCTTTTTTGTTGTTGTAAAATCGTTGTTTTTTCGTGATTTGTTTTTTGTCTGGCTATCCGAAAATCTCTTAAGTCTATCATGTGTGCTGTATGCCTAATTCATTGTGTGTATAAAAAAATATGATTAGTTCCGTTGTATTTTTCTTGCATGGTCGATTCTTTTCTCTCTCGGGGCAACGCCCGTGAAGCCGCAGGTACCTCTTGGGCAACATGTAGAAACGTTTCTAAGTGTTTAACGGCTAGTAATATGAATCAGAATCGCCATAAAGGTGAAGAAAACGTTTCTAAGTATTAGTCGGCCGAACCGTTTCTAAGTGTTGAATTTATTTTTATTTTTTTCGTTTCTAATTATTTATCGGAAATTTTGGAAACCAAAATTGTTTCTATGTGTTTGTCCGACACTATAAATATAGTATTTATTTATTTTTTCAAAAATAAAATATAATTTTAAATATATATTAATTAATTTAAATTATAATATAATATATTTAAATTTATGTATACAAAATAGATAAATATAATAGAATTATTATTATTTTTTATATAATTGTTTAAATTTAATTATTAAATATATATTTTGTTTTTTTGTAATTTATATTTGTTATTGATTTTTAAATGTGTTATAATTAAATATATATTTATTATTAATATATTTAATTATTATATTATTATATTATATTTATGTTTTTTAAATTATATTTCTTTAAATATAAATATAATTTAATTTATTAATTTAAAATTTAAATTAATTATTATAAACATATATTTATTTATAAATTTAATATTATTATCAAAAATCATTAAATTTATAATAACACATTTAATATTTATTTATTCTAACACAATATAATATTACATTATCAATAATATAACACACAAAAAATAAAACTAAATCGGACAAAAATAATCCAATTCTTTCTAATCGTATATAACAATATAACACATCGAAAAAAAATAAAAAATCATCCATATAATATTTATAATACAACAAACACATATCCACTCACCACACACATACAAACAAACATACACACAAAACATACAAACATAAAAAATCAACAACAATCCAGAAAACATACAACCACTATCTTAATTCATTTTTTATATAAAATATTCAAAAAAAAACAAACTCCTAATAACCCACCCAACATCAACAATATATATTTCGAACCATTTTCCAAAAACATAACAACATTCCCATCCAAAATATTATAAAAATTAACATCATAATAAAACAACCTTCAAAACATCATTACATTTACAACAACCAATATCCAAAAATATATCTTTAAATTCAATAAATCTCCGTTCTAATAATAATTTCAAAATAAATTTATTCAAAAACAATAAATAAAATATTAATCCTTTATATGTATAATATTATTATATAATTATATATTATATAGATATATGCAATTATGTATTAACTAATAAGATTATAAAATTTATAATATATTATTATTATTATTATTATTATTATTATTATATTTAGTATATTTATATTTTGTAGGACGGCAAAATAATTAAGACTAAACACATATATTAAAAAAAAAACATCTTTGTCGTTAAAAAATAAAATAATTCATCCAAATATTTCCCTTCAATCTAATTCTTTGTAGGTTAATAGATATAATATAATAAACCTTTCTATAATAACGATATATCTCTAAAATTGTAAATAAAAAAAACGAAACATAAATAAACATAAATTTAAAATTTAAATAAGTTAATAAAAAGAACATGTAAAAGGAAAAAAAACCTTCAAAAATAGTATCACTCACCTATTAATCAGCCAAAAAGAGAGAAAAATAGCTAGTAAGTGAGTGAAAAGTATGGATAGGTAAAAGAGTTCCCATCCTCATCCATATATCCACTCTCTTCCTCTCTTTGTTCGGGAGTGTGCATGAGAGATAGAGCGTGATGTGGATAGCTGTCTCTCGGAAATTATTCTCTCTATCTCTTTTTGCCATTCTATTTTCTATTTAATAATCTGTTATTCTTGGAAATTCATATATCTTATAATCTACAATCTGTATCTTTTCCTTTCCTTACTATTCACCTCTCCCAACCATTAAATTCTGGAAGTTGGGAGAGCTAAGGAAAGGATTATCACTCACTCACCAGCAATTTCTCTCTCTTGGCTGGTTAATAGAGTGATGGCCAACGGATTAATCTCACCTACAAACCCATTCCTATCCTCAAGCTGGGTCGTATTGTCATCTCCCTGCTGTCAATGACCCAGTCCATGAGATAGCTATTTACATTATTCAAGGCATTTTATAATGTAAATAGCTATCTCATGGACTGGATCACAAGGGATCGCAATCACGACATTGCCTCATTGTTATAGTGAATCCTAATGTTCGCAACCAAGGTTTGCATGTGTTGCCATCAAGCTCTTCATGCATTCTATTATTTAGCCTGCAGTCAACAAGAAAATATGTGTAGCTCCAACGCCCAAAAAAAGACCGTATGTTTAATACGTGAAAGCTACTATACAGTACAGTGCGGAAACATATGTTAGATATTCCTTCAACAAATCAATCGTTTTGTCGCTCAATCTGCCCTCGGCGGCGCAGTTGCAAAGCGGCCTGGGCATAGGTTGTGCCACAGCCATGTTGGTGGTATAACTTAAGAGCCCAGCGCATCCTCAATTGCCTCAGTTCTTCTGCGCGAGCAGGATCCCCGCCTGGTGCGCCTGGCGAGATTGAGATTTGCTTGTTCGCCTCCCAGCCCGTGCAGGCGTGCTATAATTTCGGATGTTCTGTTGAACACTCACCAGCAAGTAAAGCAACACTGGGTACAAACGCAGATGTGAGAACATGAGTGCATCAGTAAGTGATGAAGTAAGGAAGTGAGTGAAAAAGCGAGCGAGCCACTGAGCGAGGAAATGAAGATGTGATGTCGTGGGACGTTGAAGGAAGTGAGGTGGTGGGGTCAGGTGAGCTGGAACTGAGTGAGGTCTACTGAGGGGAACTGGGCATAACATCACCAAAGCAATCACGTGCGCAAAGTCGCGCCTGCAAACCTCAGAAAGTTTGCCAAGTCGCGAGTACAGCCAAACTGCCAATGTCAAAACGCAAGCTTGCACAACGGCCAGAAACTAATTGACACTTGCGAGCGAGTCTCCCTTGAACTCCTTGAGCGCTTGGGCTGGCATTCAAGTTTGACCTCGCTGGATGTTTTGAAATTGAGCAAGCTACAAACGAACAGCCACAAGCTGAACAATTGCCGCGTGGCCTGGAAGCACACCTTGTTGCTCCCGTGCAGCACAAACGATCGTAGGTTGAAACCTGTGACCTGCCCTAGGCTAGTTGCCTCCAACACGAACACGGCAGGCTGAAAACTTAACTATTGCTCAGAGGCCCACCACGGCTTAGCATACCACAGCCAAGCGAGTAGAGCTGCAACAGCCTCAGCAGCAATCTGGGAATTGTATGGAATTGTGCTTGGCTGGGAAGGGTTAACAAAATATCTCAATAGGCGGCCAGGGCTGGGCTTGCGGCATACTGCTTGGGAGGTGCACGAGAAAGGTCGATACTGATTGTTCCCCAAACCCTCGGGACACCTTGATAGACTGGGGCGGCCTGCCACAGCGCCTGCTGAAACTGGCAGTGCCGCGTCTCCTCGGCGAGAGGACGCAGACTTCCAGCTACTTGTGACAGAATACGTTGTGACAGGTTGTGAGCTTTCAGCATGGCCACTTACTTGCCTCTCAGTGCGCAGTTCCAGCACGAAAACTGCACGAACCAACTCACACGTTTTGATGACCGCACTTCGCGTCTCTCACCAACTTGTAACATTGTACCCACTCGTAAAGCAACTCTAAACTCGATGGCGGACTGAATTGCCAACAAACCCGTAGCCCGGGCAATGTGCAACGGAAGCAACGAATGAAAGGCATGGGCCAAGTGGCAAAATGCATCCTCGATCCAAATCTAGAAAAACCTTGCACCAACTGCAAACAAGATTTGAAACCCACTTGGCCTTTGACGGGCTTAGGCTGAACAAGTGAGTTTTGGCAAGTTCCGTAAACGCGGTCTTGGGGCAGGGCTTTAAGGGTTGGTGAAGCGTGGACACGGCATACGGACCTAGGTTTGGCCAATGGTTTGTCTTGTTTCGACTTGTTGGTTTGCCAATAATCTATGCTTCGAAACTTAGCAATTCCAACGTTATGCACAATTCTGAGTGTGCTCAAGCGAAGGGAAGCGAGGTACGCAACACTTTCAGTGGACGGCAGCACCGCCTGCCTGCAGCCCCTCCCCTTCCGCCCTTGGCTCCTTGGTCCGGATGGTCGCCCACCCGCCGCCAAAGCTCCTCTGCCAGTGAACTGATGCTTGCAAGCAGCATAAAGATCTGAATGCTATCTGGGATGAGCATTTTGGTGCGAGCAGGCCTCTGGACTTTCAAATGCTGAGTGAGAACTGCCTCGAACCATCAGTGTGTTAACGGCCTTCTTGCTGGAACCGTTGCTAACCAACACAAAACAAAAAATGCTTGGCGCAGCCATGCCCAAGTGCATGTTCCAATCGTGTGTATGAGGTTCATCGGCCCAAAGGACAGTATTGAACGCTGTGCCAAACACCCAGACCATGACTCAAGACACACACACACACACACCCTCTCTTAGACTCTCAAGGGGTGATCCACTCAAATGCGAGTGTAGATCAGCCAAGTGAGGTCTATTCAAGTGACAGGGGTAGAAAATCACCTAAGGTTGAACAGGGGCGAAGCACACACAGCCTTATACGGAACCAAGCCCAGCAACAGCATCTGCAGGTACACAATGGAGCGTCCCCCAACATCGCGTGGGCCCTGGGTAAACCAGGGACTTGGCACACACACACAATTTCTGCTCCCTTGACTCTTGACTGCTCATGCTTTCCTATTTGTTTCTCGCGAGCACGGGCAGCTTTTGGGGTGTGCTACATTGTTCCTCAAGCCAAAAGCAGCGGGGCATGTTTGCCCCGGAGCTGAGTGAGCTCCTTGAACTTCCTCTTCTGCTCTGGGGAGAGCTTGGAGGTGTCAACCTTGGATAACTTCGCCTGGTCATGGCGATAGGTTTGAGGCATTTTGAAGCGTCGAGCGTCGCGCCTGCATCTCTTCACGCCAGCGCTGGGACATTGGTAAGTCTGCTCGGTCAGAATAACTGAGCCTAAGGCAAGGGGAGACAAGGATTCAAAGGTCGGTGCAAAGGCAATTTGCTGCAAGATACCATGCTGGTGTCCACCGTTGAGGAACTGACCATTCCAGCTCCACGCTCCCAGCTGGGCCCGCGCAAGACCATGACAACAAAGCGACCTGACAAATTGGCTCATCCAGGTTTGGCACAACATGGCCATTGGCTCTGCGCCACATCATACACTGGTGCTTACCCTGCCAAACACTAAGCTCTGCGCAAGCGCAAGTTTTGCCATGGTAGCTGGGCAGCGGGCAATTCGGGGTGCGTGAGTGGATGTGCGTAGCGTGTCAAAATTGCCAGGATGCATGGCAAGCAAGCTGTTGAGCACATCTGGAGGCCTACCCTCCCCCCGCACATAGCAAACATAGCGCAGCTGTCTGTAAAGAATACGCGGGTGGGGGCTTGGACTTAGGATGATGACAGGCTCACTGCCGTAGCAATGCGCAGCACACGCACACTCAATTTGAGACAGATATGTCTGCTTGTTACTAATTGTCTAATTACACTCAAAATTACAAGTACCAATAGGCTACTTGTGCACACGTGAATGCTTGAGCCGAGCTTGAGCCCGAGCTGAAAGCACTGAAGGGCCTTGCTGGTGTCTCAATTGCACCTTGGTCTCTTGCCTTGCAAGCTTGCTCTCTCGCTCTCACACACTCTCTTTTTGTCTTTGTCTCTGGCTGCGTGGGCCCTTTCATCAGCAGAACCATTCAGCGAGCGCCCCATCAGTAGTTGGCCCCGCAGAATGGTCAACGCGATGGCTCGGCGCTGCAGGGAAGCCATGGAACACGGATTTCTATGTTTTGAATGCGCACCATGAGGCAATGATGTCTCTGCGTCACATGTTAGCTACCCAATGCCTACGGTGCATGCCAGCCTTTTTGGCGACCTGCGAGGCGTCCACGCCTCGAGTTCTGTGACATGGCCGTCTGCCTGCCTCAAATCCTTTGGTCCGCGCATGCCCTTGCCAAAGCTCTGATCTGTTTGCGCTGCTGTTTGCAAGAAACTTTGAACCTTGAGGTCGACACTCATTGGAGTACCCAGCGCCATGCATTCAGCATAAGCCAGCATGAAAACACCGCAGTCTGAAGTGTTCTCCTGGAGCCTTGGCAGCAAACATAGACATTGATGCCGCTAGCATTTTTGCACTTTCTGTGGCACGCGGGAACCGCAATGGTTCAAACTTCAGCCTGGGTCACAATAAGTTAGCAAACAACAAGCGAGATGACAAACGAGGAAACCATCACGTTTGCAATGCTTGGGCATTCCTGCGTGCAATTAGCCGGCAGAGTGGTCTTCTCTTTGCTGGGGTTGTTGTCCGCGCTCTGCCAATTGCTGATGTGAGCCCCATTCCCAAAAACTTTGACATGGAGGGCCCGGCACCTATGGCAGCTCTTTGCTGCGCTGGGCACACCTTCTTTTTCCGAAACGTAAGCATGCCTTTGGATTTCGGTCGTTTGGAGGTCGACGCTTGAAATTGATCTTGCACGATGAAACTGGTCCTGTCAGAATTAGTAAGCAGGGTCTGCCTGTTAGCGATACTGATCCTCTCACACACGTGCAGTGGACCAGCCAAAACAAAATCGACAGAAACAATATTGGAATTGTTGTGCAGCTTGCGCCGCGGGCAAGTGAAGCAGACTGAGGCGCGCGGCTGAGCCGTGGCCACCTTGAGCTTCCAACAGCCTGCGTACACCCATCAGACGATCTGCATCAAGTTTTAATTGTTGACAGTCTGACAACGCAAAACAAAAACCGACAGCGCAGCAACAGCGCGATGCCCTTGTGATCTGCGCAGGGCTGGTCGTCTGCCTGACAGCGCCGAGGCCTCCATCGAGGCATATTCTGAAAGCCTGGCGCGAACATGGGCACGTCAAGCTGTCAGTTTGGGACTTGTAGACTTGCAGCGCCCGACAAGCACACACGCGCAGTGGATGGCTCAGGTTGCAAACAAAATTTCGCTGCAACTGCCCTCCCTGCCTGCTTTGCAAATTATCGGGGGCTGCCAAGCCCAGCGAGTCAAAATATTCAATTGTCCGCCTTGGCTCGAGTTTCTTAAGCGCAACGCCAATTATTTTCAGCAACTATGCTTGGTTTTGAGGGTTGTGCTGGGACATCTTCATCACAGCCAACCTCAGGCACGAATGTTTTGACAGAATCACAGCTGACAGCACATCCACGTTTTGCCAAGCTGTGGCCCCGTACGCCCAGTGGCAACCTGGCGGGGAACGAATGAAACCCGTGCGTGGCTATTTCGATTTCTGGGCCAGGCATGCCACGTGCTCAGCACGCCTTCCAGATGTAGCGGCACAATGATACACCGGAGGAGAGCCACATCGATTGCTGCGCGCCTAAAGACAGCACGGTTGAATACGCAAAACAACTCAAGCGATCATTGCAAGGGCGACTCAGGTTAGGTTACCTCCTCTGCAATGGGCGGTGATGTTGGACCTCCTTTATTAATAGTACTCTCTATTGTTGAAAATATGTTTCTAATTCAGAATCGTTGGAAGTTTTAGGGGCTCTCTATTGTGGAAAGTGTTTTGCCGGAAACAACGCTGGGAAAAATATGGGCAAAACACTTGGCAAACAAGTCGGGCAAAAAAAAGGGCAACCAAATCCTGGCAAACATTGGGAAATTGCTTTCTTGAAGTGGCCCCCAGGCCATCAATTTTAAGATAACTTCTTTACAAAAACGTGCGGGCAACCAGTCACACAAAGGGGGGTGCCCACAAGAGGGCCAAATCCTCTTTAATGCGATTGTTTTGAGGTCCTCTTTAGTGTCCAGCTGGTTTCGGGGTTGCTGAAAACTGAAAACCAAAACCTCAGCCTTTTACTTTTAAAGAAGGGGACTCATCCTAAGCTCTCCCCAGCTCAAAGGTTAAAGGCCTGAATCTAGGAAATCGATTTGCAAGTTGTTCCCAAACCATCAAATTTAAGATAACTTCTTATCAAAAAAGTGCGGACAAACAGTCACAAAGGGAGGTGCCCACAAGAGGCCCAGATCCTCTTTAATGCGACTGTTTTGGGGTCCTCTTTAGTGTCCAACTGGTTTTAAGGCTGAAAAAACGACCGACCCTTGGCAATACTAAAGTAGAATTGGCAGTGCTAAAGTAAGTACTGGGGATCTGAGAGTCAGCCTTGGCAATACTAAAGTAGAATTGGCAATACTAAAGTAAGTACTGCCCCTCCCGGACCCCCAGGATCTCACTAAAGAGAGTCCCGCCGACTGGTTCCACTGTTCAGGGGGGGGGGTTCACACTAAAAAGAGTCCAACATTACTTCATGAACTATTGTCCAGAAACTGGCAATCAAAACCGCCATGTTTCATAGCGCGTTAGCACGACTGGCCTGGCCCAGCGCTCCACCGCAGCGTGGCCGCCTTCCTAAGTCAAAGCGAAGGAGACTTGCAGCGGGCTCCCCTTCTCCAAGCCTCCAATTTCGGCCAAAAGAACGTGTTGGGGCACCACACCCCTTTGCTGAAATCCTGCAAAAATCGGACTTGGCTGACAGGAACTGACAGGGTTCTCTCCCCTCCTGCACCAGGCGCAGGTATGCATTCACCACCTGCGCGTTTGATTCCAGGATCAGCTCGCCACGTTCAGCATGGCTGCATGTTCACGCAACATGTTTTGTTGCGTCGCATTTAATGTCCTGTTCGCCGAGTGAAACGATTCCGAATTGGAATGTGCACAGCCGACATGGCGCCACGGCAATCTTCGCAGTGGTGCCTGCCAGCGCGTGTCAAGAAGTTTGGTGATTCCGACTGCTCTTCCTTGTGTGCATCTGCAATCTCAAAGCAAATGCTCGCTCATGTGATGCACCCGTCCAAGCTTGTACGGTCTTTTTGGCAAAATGATTACGCATCGTTGCCGACATGTTGTCTGCAAATTATTGCAACCTATTAGCTGTGCAAATGTGCGGGTCACATTTTGCACCAGCTGGAACCAACCATGATGGCCCAATGATGCCCAATGGGCAAGTGCCGTGAAGCGAGATTGCCCGACACTACACTGATTGGGATGCCAATGAAACAACATGTCAAACTTGTCAATCAAGGGCTGCTAGGCGCTTCCCACTGGCCAGCGCAATTGGTGGGAGCAAACAAGCGTCACGTCCAACATGCTGACTTGCATAGCAGCATGACGCATGCAAACCACTGGGTTTGCCCGGTCTTCGAGCAAGACTCCAATCAGTCAAGTTAGGGCATATACCTGCCATGAACCTACACGGGATGTGCATCCTTGTCAGCATACTTGAGATGAATCTGTGGTCAACTGTTGTCACATTTCATAAAGTGTGGTCCAAATGAACGAACAAGACTGTCTGGCATCATCTGGACCTGTCAAGGAATGCAAGGATGCACAAACCACGCTAAATCTCCGGCCTTTTCGCTAGAAGAAGTGCAACTATTCTGATATCAAACAGGTCTCTCTGCCGGCCCCGGCGATTCTAATTGAGCATTGCTTTACAACACCCAATTTGCGCTTGCATCGCGCTACCTTGTGCCCGCAGGACACAGCAACCAACATGTGCGCCAATGCTTATTGAAATGTCCGGACGGCCGCAGCCATCCGCATGCTCACCCTTGCTGGATAGCTCATCGACGGCGTCCGCCCTTGCGAGACGGCGAGCGGGAGGTCGGCTTGGCGCCACGTTTCGACTTCGTACCTCGGCCACATTCGCGAGTCAGGCGAGTCAGGAGTCAGCTCCGTGGCCTGGGACTTACTCGACTGCAACCCGGCTGCGGTTTCTCCTTTGCGCCGCCCTCAGCCTTCGAGCTTCTTCAGGTGAGAGCTTCTTCTCCACGCTCTTTTCCCTGGACGCAAGGGTGAGAAACCGCAGGAACCCACATGGCCACTCGCGCCAGCCCCGGGTTCTGTGAAGCAGGTCTTGTGCCTTGTCCAGCATCAAAACACTTTAAGAACACCAAACACACCGCGCAGTATTGTCGAAAGCAACCCCATAATATAGATTCGAGGGTTACCGGTTTGGGGCCCAAAAGGAAACAACAAACCGTCCAAGTGCGCTGCTCGCACATTTTACGCTTGAACCGCCACACACTGCGGATGCAATTGATGTTAAACTAAACCCCCAAACTGACCGATTGAATTCTTCACCCCCCCTCTGCGTGTACGGCCTTTCACAAAGCAGCCAAACAGAAACACAACAGAGGGAAGAACGGTCGGGGTTTCATCTGCACATGCAAATCCGTGACGGATGCGTTTGTAACGCCACCGCCAGGTTGACTGTCGTCCACTGCCGCTACTGCCACCCCATTGGCTCCATCCACTGCTGTACCAGTCTTCCCACTCCGAGCTGCCCCACTGCTCGCCCTCGCGGCGGGAGCTGCATAGGATTCGTAGCGGGCCGCGTTGCGGGCGAGGTGTTTGTCGCCCTCGCTGCGTGAGAACTCAGCAGAGTTCCATGCGGCTCGCTCGTTCCGCCGGAAGATCCAGTCCAACTCTTGGCGAAGCCCATCCTCGTCCCTGCCACTCAGGTGCAATCACCCAGTTCCAGCAGCCAATGCTGCGAGGTTTGTCCTGCTCCAGAATGATGTGAACGAAGGCACGGGGTGAATATGGCATTCCTTGGAACACAATAATTATCCAACGCAACGTCAGTGCATCCTTCAGCTGCGGGACCATGAGCTCGAGCTCCGTTTTGACCTACGCGAGCCTTGCGATTCGCGACTCAGACGTCGATCCGAGACCGACGCCAAGCGTACGCTGGGCTTGGAGCTGCAAGAACCAAATTGGCAGACAGCTCCATGCGGAGCATGTCCGCCTCCCGGCGCCCCACTTCGATCATCCTGACGCGGTACTGGGGGTCCAGCTCGTACCGATCCATGAGCGAGTGGTAGCCGTTCTTCAGGGCGGATTTCAATTTCTTCCTGCCCTCAGTTCAGGCCTCTGGCAATGCTGATACGATCCTCCTCGCAGAGGTCGGATGCTCCCACTGACGCCAGGACCTGCGCCGTGATGCGCGTGCTCAGGCCCATCTTCTTCAGGAGATTGGAGCGCTGTTTGATGTAATTGCGCTCCTGGTCCTTCAAAAGGCATGGGTTGAGGGGAGAAAGTTGTCCGCACGTTGTGCAATTGACCTGCCCCTCAAAGATGTCATTGTTGCAAACAGGACACTTGACGACCTTCATTTCCACGTTCTCCATGGGGCTGAAAGTCTTCTGCCTCTTCGCTTCCCCTTGCGGGGCGCGAGGTGATGAGGCATTCGTCCTGGTTGTTGCAATGCGCTCCAATGCCGTGGTGCAGTCATCGACAACCGCCTGCTCTCGCTTCATGCCCTGGTTGTCGTCGTCGGCTGATGTTGCTGGTGCACCTGCATTGCTCAGAGCGTGTGTACCAGATGTCCCCGTTTGTAGCATCCAGTATCGAAAGAATGGTGTAGTTCGGGACCTTGTCCCACATGGTGAAAAAGCACAGTCCGGCACGAATCGCCATTCTGAGGTCAATCTGAATCTCAAGTGGGCGATCGGCACGGACGCCGGAGACATAGTGGTCGCTGGTGCTTGGCACATCTGCAAAATAAACATGTGGCCGACCGGTTTCATGCTGATCACCACCGCCGGGTACAAGGCCATGCCGCATAATGCTCGCAAAATTGCGCTTGTCCGTGCGGTGGTACAGCACCGTGGGCGGTTTGTCGCACACGTTCCAGCCGGTCCACCGCCCAAGGTCGGTGCCCGGGTTGACCTACCACTCTTTGGCGATCCCGGTGTCGTCGATGTTGAGCCAGTCCTCGTGGCCTAACAGCTTTCAGATTGAACAGCCAGTGAGAGCAAGGAACATCTCCGCACCGGCTTGCGTCCGGGCAACCAAGGGCAATAAACCTTTGCTTCTTGAAAAGCTGGAAAATATCCATGTTTTTTGCATGTTCCACGGAATCGGATGTCGCAGCTCCTTGCGGAGCGCGAAGCCCAAATCCTCAAGGTCCATGTACCCGTCCTTGTCCATGCGGTATCCGCATCCCTCTGTACCTCGGCCCCTGAGGATCTTCGAGACACAGGTCAGCGATCGATGATACCTATCATCAATACGCTTGACGGAGGGATCGTAGTCGAACGCGGGCTGCTTGACAACCATGAGCCGTTTTGCACCTTCGCCACAGGCGACGTAGTTCTCGCCCTTGTTGGTGCTATAAACCCAACACTCGTAGTGACCTCCGGTCTCATTTCGACTGTACGAGTCAAGCGGCTCAGACTTGTGGACCTCCTCGATCTTTTTCGCCACCGCAGCTGCCTTTGCACCGGCTTGCGCCGGGCGAACATCTTGGGCGATGTCAGCACCAGCAGAATCATCGGCAGGGGCAAAGTCAGCTGGATTCACCGGGGCGAAGTCGAGAGGCTGTCTGGTTTCGACCTCCTCCTTTGTGAACGGCAGGCCGACCATTTCGGACAGACTCACTCCACATTTTGTAAGCGTCTCCTTGCAGTACGCGAGAACCTCCACGTTCACTGTATTGTCATCTCGATTGCGTAGCTCATGCTGGTCGATGGGACGCACAGTGCATTCGTGCGTGCGAATCAGCTCGGCTACGCTGCCCATTGCGGGGCGCAAAATCGAGAGCATATACAGCATGTGATGGGCACCTCGCAAAAACTGAGCAGTTTTAATAATGTTGTCGTCGCTAAAACACATATGGTATCTGTCCAAGAGGTCAATCGTCTCAACGAAGGGTGTAGCATCCACGTAAATCAGGATCTGACTGGGCTCATTGATGATGAAGTTCCGCACCTCACTCATGTAGCGATCCCAAATCATGAAAAACCCGTACTGAACGCTGCTTGCGCCAGTCATCACTCCGAGGCATGCGCAGCCCTTGCGGGCCGCGAAGTTCATTGTCCACAACAAATGCCTCCTCGTGTCCTCAAGCATCTGGATTGCGTCCCCCATCGGGGTGTCGTACGGGTACATGCCGGTGGGCTCGATGCCGTCTTTGCCAACCAGTTCGTTGCCGTTCCAGTGGATCATGGGAATGATGGTTGCCGTTGGAAAGTCCGTACGCGCCTCATCGATGAGGGCGGCCAACCGCTTGTAAATCTGCTGAAGGCCTTTCCCCCCTAGCATCTCGGACTTCCATGCACCGACACGCGCCGGGCGAGAAGTGTCCAAACGCTCCGAGAAGTCATACTTCCGGAGCTTCTTCTTCCCGCCGGAAACCATTGATAATCCAGAATCGCCGACTGTTATGTAAATAACCATGTCGCGGTCGGGAACTTTCGGGGCAGAGACGATCTTCAAGTAGGGCTCGGTGATCGTGAGCAGGGGCGTCAACAGCCGCAAATAATGCGGCTGGTCCTGAATCCACGTGTGGATCAGCGACTGCGAGGAAGCCGATTCCAATAGCCCTTTCACCGTCGCCGCCAAGTTGCTATCGTACTTGGCGTTGGCGCACACCGAAGTCGTAGCAATATTCTCCATCCACCACCTCCATGCCGGGTCGCAATCCCTCGCGGGATGCGCCATTGCCGCCTGGCTGCTCATTGCGAGGATGATGCAGCACAGTCATACACTGTTCGAAGGAACTTAAAATGCGAGGTTTTATCGGGGATAAGTTCTCTGATTGTAGGTTGTGGTTGTTCGCTGACGCGGATTGGGCAG